TAGGCCCTAAAAACGGCCTGGGCATCATCCCCGCCTGCACCCAAACCCGCGGCCGCTAAGTATTCGCGCCGGCCTACCCGAACCGTGTCGTAGCCACCCCCGCGCACCATCCTACGCCGCCCCATTTACCACACAAGGTTGCACCGTCGTTGTCGATGCCGTCGTCCTCGCACGTGCGCTAGTCTTGGTCAAGAGAGAATATCCTTAATTCCTATTTAATCAAAAATAAATAAAAATAATTAATAATATCATTAAACAAAACGACCGATGTCCGTGCCAGCTTTATGATCAACCACATAAAAGAATCACGCGCGCCTTAAACCTGCGCGCCCACGCACCCTCTACTATAGTCAACCACCCAATCAATGTAGACCACAGGCTTTACCGTGCCTCACGAGAAACACTTAAACTCCAACCCAAGCTTATTTTCTGTCGCATGCAAAAAAAAACAGGGCGGATACCCTTGTAAGGGTATTCGCGCCGACAACGCTCAGAAATCTCTAAATCGACCCAGACTAAAGCGAGGGTCCAGATCTGCGCGCGGTCCTAACTCTTGACCCTCCTTTTCCCCCTTTTCTTTCTTTTTCTTTTTCTCCCTTCTCTGTTCGATTGTATCAACGAGCCCGCGCACCTAACCCATAACCCGGTTAGAGGGCACTCGGCGCGCAGTAGAAAAGACAGCGCTGGTCTCTTTGCCTTCTCGTCCCAGGGCGAGCCCGGCGGCTACCACGGCCACAGGCCGGTAGTGCTCTGCTGTACAACAGGGCGCCGAGCCTGCGTGGACCAATGAAAAACCCTGTGGTGCACCTTTTTTTTGCTGAGGCAGGCACCAACAGGACCGGTCCACGTCAAGGTACGGCCCGGGTACTAGGGATTGTAGTTCGGGAAAATACCTACAGGCCGCGATGTCGGAGCGAGAGGCCGATACCAAGCAGGGACTTGGTACGCAGAGGAGGGCCGGGACACCGCGCCCTCCGACACCGGGCCGCCCGGGTCCCGGGTGGCCAGCCCCTGCAAGGACCAGGGAAGTTCCCAGCAAAAAAAAAAAAAAAAAAAAAAAAAAAAAAAAAAACCGGAAAAAAAACTATGTTATGCAGAAAAATAAACTGAACAACTTTTGCCTCAGGGTCACATCGGAATTCTGCACCAAATTTTGAAAAAATATATATATATTTTTTGTTTTGTTTTTGTTTTTAATTGTTTTTGGCCCGGCCGGGCAAGTGACCCGCGGCCACTCTGGTAGCCTAGCCCCAAAATATTTTTTAGTGGGGCCTTCGGGTTCGGACCCTGAACTCCCATATCTACGGAGGTTGGCCCGGGGACCTCCGTACATGCGGGCTGGTGACCATATATATATATATAGTGTATGTATATATATATGTGTATGTATATATATATGTGTATGTATATATATATATACATATACATATCGTCACAGGTACCTTTGAGGGCAGTGGTTGAGGGTATCAGTTGTCGGCAGTCTTTGATGCTTAACCACAGTCCGGGTTAAGGTGGATTATCACGTACAGTGTAATCAGTTAGGGGATTCTGCAGACTGTTGAGGGTTCAGCCACCTGACGAGTGGGTGAAACTCCAACGAAACAGTTTGTCACAGCCCCTCGTTTGTTGTCTTCTCCCTCCTCCCTGCCAAAGGTTTACCGGGCAGCTCTGTTGGACCATAGATATGTCATAATATACACTTGAACTATCTATTTTAAGCCAAAAGGCCGAGAAAGGTATTGAGCTCGAATCCCTATAAGCTGAGATGAGTATTAACTCTGAATTCAAAGACCCCAGTTGGGCCTGGCTTCCTTCGGGATAGGATTTTTTATTGTTTTTGCAAAAACAGAAATGAAAAGAAATCCACTCTGAATACAAGTGAGGTCAAGGAATTTGAAAGTGGAAGACCGGCAAAACACCCAAAGAATCTGATAGGAATTTTATTTTGTTTTTGCAAAAACAGAAATGGAAAGAAATCCAACAGCCCCACTTGGGCCTCGCTGTCCTTGGGCACTTCCGATTAAAAATTGGAACGATACAGAGAAGATTAGCATGGCCCTTGGGAATGGATGACATGCATCAATCGAAAATTGGGCCTCCCTCCACCACTCACCAAATGTGCAAAATGAGAATGAACCTTCTGGTATAAATGGATGTTTTGCTGGCTTGTGATGAGGTGTAAACCTGCAGTCTGTAGAGTTTTCCATCTGGTTTGGGCGAGTGAAGTGATAACCTGCTTCGATTTTCGTCACAGGTACCTTGAGGTCCTTTTCGAGGGCAGTGGTTGGTGCCCACGTTAAGGTGTGACAGGTACCTGAAGGGCAATGGTTGATGCTTAACCGGAACCAGGGTTAAGGTGGATTATCACTTACAGTGTATCAAGTTCGGGGACTCTGCACACTGTGGAGGGTTCAGCCTCCTAATGAGAGAGAGTTTGTCACAGCCCCTGGTTTGTTGTCCGCTTCTCCCTCTCTGCGTACGGTTTACCGGGCAGTTCTGTTTGACTATCGTCCGTCTTTGCCCCAATAGAATGCCCGGTCATTATAGGTGTATCTGGACTGAAAATCGCACCAAATACGGCTATAATGACGGGGCGTTCTATTCCGGTGAAGACGGCAGTATATTCTCAAAGAAAGAAGATACCTCATAGTGACCTCTCATGAATATTGTGATGTATTCTCAGAGAAGGTTCTTCTTAGTGACCCGTCACATGCGTTGTAGTGGTGTATTCTCGAAGACCATACCTCGTCGTGACCTGTCATGCGGTTTTTTTTTTTTTTTTTTTTTTTTTTTTTTTCCTCTCTCTCTCTTGTGTACTCTCGAGGACAGTGACATGTCATATGCATTCTACTACTTTCTCGAAGACCATACCGTTCCGACTTGTGATGCATTCTTGTGTAATACTCTTCTTAGAGCGTAATCAGACCTGCATTATCCCGGTTGTATGTTGCCGCTATCACGAACCCCCACGGATGTATCTGACGTCAATTACGGCCAGGGTTGAGCAGAAAAAGTCCTGGTCTGGGTGTGCCCTCAGAGAACATACGGCATAGGGACCTGCCATGCATTCTCGTGTACTGTCAAAGAAAGAGATTTACAAAAAAAAAAAAAAAAAGTGGTCCTTGTTGAGGTCGTAAACTCACACTGGCACTTAGTCGACTGAATTCTGAACGTGATCATTGCAGTGAGATACATCCAGCACGGGCCGTAATCGGGGTCCGATACATTCGGGAAAGATCGGAGTGAATATCCTCTCATCCTCTATACGTGTATTAGAAAGAATCCTTCTTTGTTTTCTTTTTTTTTTCTTTTTTTTCTGTCCATACCTGTGCGATCAGTACGGAGACGACGGCATAGCTACGGCATAGCTACGGCATAGCTACGGCATGGATACGGTACGAGGAATAATAGGTGGAGCCTCCCCGGGAGTGCTACCTTGTAGGGCCTGCTCTTATCAGCCAGCACCCCTAGCGTCAGCTCGGGCTGTTTTCTGTAAAATAGGAAGAAAAAGAAAGAAAGAAAGAAAGAATATTTTTTTTCCCCCTCACTAGCACTTGAAGTGCCGAATCTGACCCACCACGCACTCCAACCCACTTTCTTGACTGGACCTGACGGCAACTCCGGACAGATGCATCTTGGAAAACCCTTGCGTGACAATGCACGGCAATGTACGACAATGCATGGGGGATATACGACACTGGACGACACTGTGCCACACTGTACGACTCTGTACGACACTGTGCGACACTGTGCGACAGTGTCGCGTTGAGTGTGGTCTCAGGTGAAATGTAAACGTGAATTGCCAGTTATAGGAGCAGAGCGATCAGCCATTAGATTTTTATTTATTTTATTATATATTTATTATATATTTGTTCATATTTGTTTATTTATTCACAGTGATTTATTTATTCATAAATATTTATCTATCTAGTCATGTTGGATTTATTATTTATTTGTTGTTTCATATTTTATTGTTTTTTTCATATTATTTATTTATTCATTTTAATCTGGGAATCAGCGATTACATTAGAACCAGCGCCATTCGGTTCTTTTGTGCAAAGTTGCAAACTGCAAATATGCTGACGACTGAGTGACGAGTGACTGTTTGAACTCTGAACTTAAGCTCGCTTTTTTTTTTTTTTTTCTAACGATGTGCTGTAATGACATACCAGTATTGTTTGTGCGAGACATAAATTGTAAAACTGGTCTGTACAATGCTATCGAAAACATGTGAATTATGGGCCTCGCTCCAGTACTCAACAAATGTGCAAAATGAGAACGATTCTTGCTGTACAACATGGAAGGGTACACCGTTCTGTTAGATGGGGCCTCGCTCAACAAATGTGCAAAATGAGAACGATTCTTGCTGTACAACATGGAAAGGTACACCGCCATATTTTTTGTCTTTTGTGGAGCGAGGCCCCATCTAACAGAACGTACGAAAATGCCGACGATACTTTACACAAACAATCCAAAAGATTAAAAAAAAAAAAAAAAAAAAAAAAAAAAAAAAAAAAAAAAAAAAAAAAAAAAAAAAA